GGTGCTGGTTATAGCTTGTACTCCAGTGAGGTACTGAACGCCCAGCGTGACTGTTTCTGGCTGGTATCCTGGTCCCTGGCTCAGGCTGCAGTGGTGTAGAGCCCGGGCGAGCTCACTGCCCAGGAGCTAGCTTGGGCAGCAATGGCAGATAGGGCATGTGAGGAAAAGCCGCACTGGTGCAATCTCCTTTGTTCCCACTTGTTTCGAGGTAGCCTATTTAAAGGGAACATCTCATAAACAAGAGAATTTCCTTTATACAGAAGAAAGCTCATTGCTTGCGGGGTTGCCTCATCCAATGGTCTCTTCTACTAAAGCCACTTGGGTTGCAAAGTACTTGGGAAATATCAGCATCTGTCGTGGAGATACAAACACGCAGAGCAAGGAAGTCGCGTGCAGCAGGGAGTCCGTGGTGGAAGGTTGTGGCCACTAAGTCGTCTACATGTGCACTTGACTATCCTGTCTGGCTGCCAGGCAAATTGCAACTGGAGAAACACATCATTCAGTTGGGGGAGCAGAACAGGCTGAAACAGACTGGGGGGCTGCACGGCCCCAAGCCTGTGTTGCTCTCCAGCCTGATGGGCAGCATCATGCAGGCTGGGGATGGGGTGCGGGGGGGACGTCAAAAGAATAAAGTATTTGTCATTTTCCTTCCTGAAAGGGCTGGAGGAGGCCAAGGCCTTTCCTCAGAACTGGGAATTTTTAGGCTTAAAGCACCTTCTTCCCACTGACCCTTATCACACTTTCTGGCACTGTTAAATTCTCTGAACTGTGGCCATCAGCAGCCCTACCGCAAGAGAACAGTGCTGGAGCTGTTAATATTTCACCTCCAGTTATCTTTTAAAAAATTATTTGCAAAAATCCCTAGTGAGGGCTGAAGCTGTATAAAAATCTAAAGACCTCAACGCAAAGCATCGCTGGGGCAAGTTTCAAATTCTGGTGCAGCCCTCTGGGCATGGCAGAAGTGAGCAGGTAAGTGGGGAGTTACCACTGCAGCCGAGCCTGGGGAGGGGGGCTGACTTGGTATCCCCCTGCCACGGCAGAGCACAGACCCTGTCCCCTCACATCCCAGCTCTGCATCTCACATCTCAGCTGCTCTCACGTGTCCTCCTCATCCCTGTTCAAATGTATTTTATTTGCTGTGGTGATGATCATTTTCTCGGCTCATTGCTCCAGAGATGCCCTCCTCACATCCCCACGCTGGCTTTTCTTGGTGCATTGAGCATCGTTTGTCTCCGGTTTCCAGTCCCTTCGCTGTCTGGTTACCTTTTCCCTATTACACTGCTGAGTTATTAAATTCTGCCTCTGCTGCTTTTTATCATCCTTGTGATAAATTCCCCATCAAGCACATCTGACTTTCTCCCACTGTGCTTATCCAACTGGAAGGAGGATTTTGCTCTCAATGTTTCCCTTCTTCCCACCTCCCCTCCCACGATGCGTGGGGAAATTAGATACAGTCCAGTGAGCAGTGCCTTGTGTCTGCATACATCAGACTGACCTGTGTGCTGTGCTCCCCTCTTGCCTGTACCCAGTCGCTGCCTGGTTTTGCCATGAAATTCAGGTGCAAAAACCAGCATGTTGTTTAGGATCTAGAGCAACTCCCTTCACTAAGTGCTCCAGCAGGGCGAAGGAGTAAGACTTCTGCCACTCTGTAGAGCAGTGTGGAATAAAAAAGTTTGTTCTCCTAGGAAAAGGGGATATTCTGTGGCCTGTAGAAAACAAAGAGGTCCTTCTGATGGAGGATGAGAGAGGCTATGGAAGGCAAAAGCTTGAGGTCTGGGATCATCGGCCTGGCTGTTACAGCTTGGCTGAGCTCATCTGACCCCATGATTTATTCCGACCAAAACCGAGGTTTAAGGCATTGCCAGCTCCCCAGTGAGTGTACCCATGCTTTTTTTTGTTCAGCTGTTTTCTCAGTTCTTGTTGAAACTTGTAAATGAAACATCCTCCTCTGCCAGCTCTTGTGTGTCTGATCTTCCATAAAAAGTGTGTGAAACCTTTTCCAGAAGCCACTGCATCAGCATTACTGCTCTAAGGTCGGTCAGCAACAACCCACGGAGCAATACTAAAGGGCATGCCTTCTGTCAGGAAAAACATACCAGGGGAGGTCACATCCCTTCGCACGTGGCCCCCTTGCCATTAGTAAAAGCTTCAAACTCACTTTCTGTCTCTCTTTGCAGGCAAAAATGTCAAAACCAGTACAAGCTCGGAGACTGGAGGGAATAGATAAGAATATCTGGTGAGTTAAGAGAATATCTGGTTTACTCTGGTGGTAGATGTGGTTTTCGGCAGCCTAACACCAGATAGAAACCACTGCAGCCACACAGCACAGAGCAGCACAGTCTCCCTCGGCTACTTTCTGCTTGTTTAGGAAGCAGATCAGGGCAGGTTTGTCCTGGGAGGCCTTACCCTGGCTCAGCTCTGTACCCGCTGCTCACGCTTTGTGCCGTACCAGGTGTCCTGCACCCTCCTGGAGGAAGGCAGGCGGGAGCACCTCGTAGTGCATTGTACTCCATCTGACCCATCCACCCAAATGACCCCAGCAGCACCCAAATCCAAGGCAAGTCGTCGCAGCACGCTGGCTTCAGCCTGGCGTCTGCTTCAAGCCCAACCTGGGGCACTGCAAGCGGAGAGGCAGGCGAAGGGATGCTGCAAACGCCGGTCCCAGCTTGCCAGGCACAGGCAGTGGGAACACTGCATGCTTGAAGAAGAGGTTTCAGTGGGCTTTCCCCAAAGCCCTCCTGTGCCTGGTTTCAAGCTACAAACTGCCGATGAGCTGGCTCTTATTTGAGACAAGTGCTGACTTCAGCCTGCCTTTCCCTCTGCAGAGACCTCCACGGTGCCTAGTAGCTGAGTTCTGCAGAACAGATATAAGCTTGAAAACCTCCAAGGCCTCTGCTGCTCAGTCTGGTCTGATCAGCAGCAACGTGCAGCTTCAGCTGCCACTCCGCACCCAGACAGCACAATGGCTGTTCCCCTCAAGAACAATTTAAAGCTAACCCCCAGTGCCATAGTGCTTCATCCTTGGTTTAATTGAAACAGGTCTGAAACGACCTGTGGGCAGCAGGATGGCTCCGCAGGAAGGACACCAACCTCACTCACTTCCAAAGGGATGCTGGCAAGCAAAGCCAGTGCCAGCACGCTGCCCGGACCCTCTGTAAATACTTGTCTTTCTCTCCCTTTCTTCTCTCCAGGGTGGAGTTTGTAAAACTGGCTGCCACCTACTCCACAGTGAACCTGGGCCAGGGATTCCCTGACTTCCCCCCACCGGCCTTTCTGCGGGAGGCATTCAGGAGAGCCCTCAGCGAGGAGAACCACATGCTGCACCAGTACACCCGGGGCTTCGTGCGTGGACAGGCACCCCCCCTCCTCTGCAGCAATACCCCCCTCGTTCCCCGTTAGCCTTGGCCACTTCAGGGCTCACCAAGCAGCAATAAACAGGCCAAACCACACGAGGCAAAACAAGCTTCCAGCCTCAGCCCGGACCCCCGTGCCCCGGGCTGTAACACCCTGCTTTACCGGGGCGTTTGGAGCAGCCAGGCTGGAAGATGCCCCTCATGCTCAGTGGCAGGGCGCTTGGCTGCCCAGGCCCCTTCCAAGGGCTCACCCAAGTTTTAGGAGGCTTCTGCAACTCAATTCCCACCCCTCCTCTCACCCCACAGGGCCACCCACCTCTGGTGAAGATCCTAGCCCAGTTTTTTGGGAAGCTGCTTGGACAAGACCTGGATCCTATGACCAACGTGATGGTGACTGTGGGGGCATACCAGGCCCTTTTCTGCTGCTTCCAGGCTTTTGTTGATGAAGGCGATGAGGTAACCCAAGATCTGGGCTTGTTGCACACGCAGCTTTCCTCCAGCAGAGCCCTTTTTGGCTGTGGATCTGCCTGGGGCAGATTTTCATAGCCCTTTTGCAAAGCAGAAAAGATTTTATCCCTGTTCTCCAGTGTTTGAGCTTCCAAAGGAAAAAATTCTCTGCTGCAGGACACTGTCTCATTTCTGCATAAGGCAAAATAACATTTTTGCCCTGAGTGATGTTATTCTTCCCTGTCACTGCCCACAGGCAATGCAGGTTCTCCATTACAGTAATTCAGAGATTAAATTTTTTTGTCCCTCCCATTGCTTTCTGCACCCATCAGGGACGGTCTGAGCAGGGCCAGGAGGGTGCTGACATGTCCCTTTCTTCCAGGTGATAATCATTGAGCCCTTCTTTGACTGTTATGAGACGATGGTGAAAATGGCTGGTGGGACGCCCGTGTTTGTCCCACTGAGACCGGTGAGTGGGTCAGAGCAAAGCCATTGAGGAGGGAAGAGTCGCAGTGAAGTGAGCAGTAAGCAAAATGCAGATGTTGCAAAGTGAGCCAAGATTCCCCTCTGTTCTCTCTAGAAAGCTCCAAAAGATGGAAAATTGATGTCTAGTGCAGACTGGAAGCTTGACCCGGCTGAACTGGCTTCTAAGTTCACCACACAGACAAAAGCCATCGTCCTGAACTCACCCAACAACCCTCTGGGCAAGGTAACACCTCTGGCCTTGCTGTGGCTGGCCCTGAAAGCTGCTGGGGGGCTACAGCTCACCCAGCCACATTTGCAGCGTAGCAGTGACTCGACCTTCCTTGCAGGCAAGGGAAGTGGGTGTAGTGGCAGCCCTGCACGCTGTGCGCATTCTTCTGGTGTTTCTAAGCCTGGTCTTCCGTGCCAGCAGTGGTTTTGCCCTGTTAGACCGTTGCAGCCAGCTCCTGCCCACCCTGGCTCGGGAGGTGGTGCAGGCAGAGTGCGCAGCCTTTACAGAAAGGCAGGGACAGGCAGGGGCTCAGCAATGCTCCCGCTGCATCTCTGCTCCACTCCCTGCCTGCTGCAGGTATTCAGTCGAGGGGAGCTGGAGCTCATTGCAGACCTGTGTGTGAAGCACAACGTCCTGTGCATCAGCGACGAAGTGTACGAGTGGCTGGTCTACGACGGGAAGGAGCACATCCGCATCGGTATGGAGAACGCCTTGGCTGAGCTTGGGCATCTTCTCTGGGTGCTACATCTTCAGGGAAGGAACTGGTGATTTAACTGGGGTCCCCTGGAAATTACACGGGCTGCTTGTGCGCACAGCTCGACTAGGCACGTATCCCCATCAGAGGTATCTTGCTGCACTTCAGTCTCAGCTTCCAAACCAGGTTTTAAACTGGAGCCCTGACTTCCAGAGGCAGTCAGAGGAAACGGGGAGCTAGCTTCTCAGCCTGAGATCTAGGGCAAAGAGCCCTTTGGCTCCAGTGAAACTGATTTTTTTCCCATATTTTGTAAAACCACAGTTTTCTCAGTGTTTCTAGTTTTGGGACATCCATTTCACCATGATTTCAGAGGCCTGTTCTTCCTGCTGCAATAACATGCAATCACCTTGTTGCAGGGTAATGGTGCTTGGTATCTCTGGGAACCCCTGGGGCTGGGTACATGGGCATGAAAACACTTAATTACAAAGAGGTGCTCGTGACAGCCCTGTCTGCCAGCTTGGGATGCACTTTGAGGTTCATCCAGGTGAAAGATGTGCTGGGACACACAAGAGGCCACCACAGCTTATGGTGGGCAAAGAGCTCCCACCATGTCATTAATGCAGCCCAGAAGCGAGGGCGCTGAGCTCTGCCACTGGCGTTTCTCCCTTGTTTCATTGCCAGCCAGCTTGCGAGGGATGTGGGACTGCACAGTGACCATTGGGAGTGCTGGGAAAACCTTCAGTGCCACTGGATGGAAGGTGAGTTCCCCCGTGCAGCACTTCGTTGCCTCCCCATCCCCATCCCTGTCCTCCAAGGTGTGGGTCCAATCGCACAGCACGGCACTGGGGACACTGCAGCCTCACACTCAGCTTTGAGCCTCAGGGTCTGACAGTACCAAAGCTACTTTATGACAGCCCTGTCTGGAAAACACAATGAAGCCACTGCAGGCAAATAAAGGGGAGCCTGAGTAGGTACCCAGAGACTTACCACCTTCCTCTTCCTCTTCCTCTCCTGGCTGCAGGTGGGCTGGACCGTGGGACCTGACCGGCTGCTGCAGCACCTCCGTACCGTGCACCAAAACACAGCGTACCACTGTGCCACAGTTGCCCAGGTAAGGTGGCTTCCCCGCAACTGAGCCTGCAATTCCCAAACCCCTGAAGCAGTGATGAGAGAGGGTCCTTCTGCCCATGGCTGGCCTGAAAGGCACAAACAGGGTGATGCGTGGTGCTCTGGAGAGGTTCCTTCCCCTCTCCCTGCAGTCACCCCACACCTGAGAGGAAGGGGAGAGTCCAGCCCGCCTGGGGTATATTCCTTGTTTTGTTCTGGCAAATCTAAGAGGCCATTTGGAGGGGCTGGAGGCAGAGAGCTCAGCTTGGTGCAGTGAGAAATCACCCCCTGCTCCCTAGTCATCTGTGAATCGCGTTGGAGCAAAGACTCCAGTTCTCAAGCAAGCCTTGACCATCTCCTCACCAGGTTACCTCTCTCCTTGCAGGAGGTTGTGGCTCAGGGTTTCCAGAGAGAGCTTGAGCTCTACGGGAAACCAGACAGCTACTTCGTCCAACTGCCCAAGGAGCTGCAGCAGAAGAGAGACTGGCTGGTCCAGAGCCTGGATGCTGTGGGGATGAAACCTATCGTCCCCGAGGGCACCTACTTCTTGGTAGCAGACATCTCCAAGTTCAGTGAGTCACGCAGCTGCGGTTTTGCTCAGGCAGGGTTGAGTATGGCGGGGGACAGCTCGGAGTGGTACCACTGGCAGGGTTAGGAACCTGCAAAAACCACCACCAAAGCTGGGAGGGACAATAGCACGTTCCCCATCCAAGCCCCCAGAGGTCATGGGTTTGGGGCTTGGCTGATGCACCTGGCAGCAACCTCCGCCTCTGTGCTGCTGTGCTTCTCCTGCAGAATCCGACGTCCCCGACGTCCCCGACTCCAATGAGCCCTACGACTCCAGATTTGCAAAATGGATGGTCAAGAACAAGGTAAATGCGTCTGGCCCTTTCCGCCGCGTTTGCCCCAGGTGGGTTTGTGCCCTCCCTGCTGGCTGCGCTCACGGCAGCCAGCAGCACACCACCGCTGCCGGGTCCGGCAGCTCATCCAGGGGCATGCCTGCGGTGTCTGTCAGCAGCTGGCCTCAACCCTGGCAGCCTGAGCGGAAGCACAGTGAGCAGACAAGGCACCAAGGGCATCTACAAGCCCATCCACGAGACTTGTGAGAAATAAGCGGATGGTTTCACGCCAGCCCAGAAGGAGTAACCTCAGCTCCACGTGTTTCCCCTTCCCAGGGACTTGCCGCCATCCCGCTCTCCGCTTTCTACTGTGGGGCCCACAAGAACGACTACAACCATTTCATCCGGTTCTGCTTCGCAAAGGTGAGATACGTGGCAGCACGAAGGAAGGGGAGGGCGGGAGTAATAAACAGGGATGGTTTAATGAGGTAAATGTCAAGAAAAAATGCGGAAAGCCTTTGGCATTAGAGCCTGACCAAACCTGCGGTATTTGTTTAGGAGGAAGCCACGCTGAAGGCAGCAAATGATATATTACAAAAATGGAAACAGGAGAAAACCAGTCCCTGAAAACACACTGGAGAGAAAACCAGGCTCTCCTTGGTCCTCACCTGCCATGTCTGCTCTTCCTCCTCTTCCTTTGCTTGGCTACAAACTTTGATCCGTCCTTATTTTTGTGCTTTCAACCACATTTTCTGTCAGACAAATGGGCAAGAGGTTTGCCAGCCCCAGGGGGACACTTTCTGTCACTGTGAAACGATTGCACTGTTCCTTGCAAGAAGCGAGTCTTCGCATGTGCCGCCAGTATTCGACATTTCTTCCGCTTACGTTTAAAGACTTTGATAATCAGTTCTGGGATGTGTCCAGCAAGACATAAGGTAAGGATGGCTCCTGGGGTCTTTTCCACCACCAAATTCTGAAAAAGTGTTTCAGGACCTACTTTTAAGGCCATGCTGGGGGCTCAGTGTGGCTCGTCTTGCTCCACATCCCCACTCATGTACCTCAGGGTGCCGGACAGCATTTCTACCAGCACCCACCTTCCCACAGGACTGTGCATTATCACCACCCATCAGTAGGTTGATTCCTATGACCCTGAAAATTATAAACCAAACGAAATGCCGTTTTCCATAATTAACAATTTTCTCATTATATTTTTTCTGTGCATCCCTGGGGAAGGTGACCGCAGAATCAGTAGCTGGTTTCCCCCAGAAAACTGGCTTTGATAAATAGCCCAGCTGTTGTCAAACCTTCCTTGTCCATCCCCAAAACTACCCCTGGCACTTTGTCAGGGCTCGGCAGCATCACCCAGGCTGCAAAGCAAAATCTTCAGGCCTTGGACAAGTGCACGCAGTGGCCAGGGAGGAAGGGCACAGTGGCCTTGGGCTGTTCCTGCTGCTGGTGGCCTCTGCAACCTCCTACCCACCGGGCTGGTGGGGTAACGTGAGCAGTGTTTTGAAAGGTAATTCTTGCGTCATTCTTGATTTCCACTTGGATAAGAATGTACACCAGCATCATCAATCACACAGGAGTTATGCGCAACAGACTGTACAATAAGTATTTGTGGTGGTTAAATTATTAAAGTTGAATTACTGCAATTGTTGAAAAGTAAATGTCTCTGTAACGATTACAAGGCTGACACAGCTCTCCCAGAGAGCTGACATCACCAGTGCAACGTCTGCGTTGGGTCCCACGGTAGCAGCTGTTCGTCCCACCCAGGCCAGGGGGTAGCAGCTCTGCGGGTTTTCCATTGGGATGCAGCTGGCAGTGCAGAACCGCTTGGAGCCAGAGCTGCTCCGACCCGTGGGAGCGAGGCAAACACCCACCTCCTGCCTTCGCCCATGGGATGTTCATCCCGTCTCACCTGCCTGGGTAGGTGAGGGTGCTGCTGAAGGCCCTTTGCACCCACGTACGTGCCAAACGCTGGGCGAGCTGCAATCACCAAAACAAACACCCGTGAGGTTGGATCATTAACACAAAGATTGACTGCAACATCCCCACGTGCCTGGGCTCTTACTCTAGGCCATGGCACACGCCACAATGGGCAGGGTGCATCCCACCATCCTCCCCGCAGCCACGCGGTGCCTCTGCAAAGACACCCAGGCGGGGGCGGGGGGATTCCACCCGCCCCCAGCCTCCCCGGGCAGGGT